GAAGCTAATAAAATTATAAACTATAAACTAGATAACAATGATAGAGATATTGGGTTTTGTCAAGATAAGGATATAACAATCTGAGAGAGAGTAAGATTTTCACTGCAATTAGCCTGATTCTGTCAGTTAGTCAATCAGGGGGGGTTAGCATTTTTTCAGAGTGTTGACATGACTTGACTTGTAGTCACCCAAAGGCATGAACTATTGGCAAAACTTTGGAAGCAAAAAAGGCCTTCTTTGAAGGAATTAATGGGGTATGTAAGCTAAACAGATTGTCATGAAATTTGGTCTGAAGACTCCAAAGATACCAACCTAAAAAAACCAAAAACCATGTGGGGCAATTCCATATTTCAAAATGGATCTCCCACAATGGCCTCCGATGTAATATCTATTTGTAAAACTTTCATCAGCAAACTTGACAGACAAATTGCAAAACAATTGATAAGAATACCACAAAATCCCCACATGGTTTTGAAGACCAGCCCCTCAGGATTGAAATTGTGCAGAAGTTTTAATTGTGCAATCAGATTTGATATGCCATTCATTCACTCAAAGAAACATTGTCCATTTCAGATTGTTGTTCCCTACTGGGTTTGTGATTATATCAGGCTAAAACAAAATAAAACTTTCCCAATAAAGCATTTCATAACCTTTCCACTGATATAAAGTTAATGGTGGTTATCCTTCCAATAACATTAAAAATTTTGTGAAGGACACCCGTGAGGTCTACCTTATCCTTAAAGTCATTAACTGATACTTGTTGTTGAAAGAAATGGTTTGAATAATCCCTGAGGAAACTCTAGTACAGTTATATTCAAACCCCCATCCCTCTCTGTCTGGATTTTCAAAACAAGTATTAGTAAGTACCTCTCCTACCTTCCAGAATGTGTCTATCTAGGGGATTATGCATTTATTCCCTATTCAAAATGCTTTAATCTAAAACCAAAGAGCCAACTTTTTTCGTGTGACAAACTTGCACATGTGCATACAGCTGTATATACACATATCAGTTTGAAGACAATAAGACAAGTTTCACACCTTGTCACTTTGTATTTAATTCTTCCTAAGCCCAAAACATTCAAATCCAGAAACTACAATCAGTCACCCAACTGTATATCAAACAAGTCAATTACAGCACAACCTGAATTGAGCTACAAGAACTTTTATTTATGTTACATTAGTGATTACATCAAGCTTAAGTTACATCGTATAAGTTCTGAACTGCGAAGGAAACAGTACTGTCAAAGAGTACTCGACTTGTCATGTGGAACTCTTGCTTGATGTTCAATTTCATTTTGCTTTCTTTCTGTATAATTATTTTTCCTGATACTTGTAAATTAGCATAAAAAAAGAAAATTATTCAGGAATATGTTTTCCATGCTAAAATTTTATGATTGTGTTCAATTGGCAGCAGTGAGTTAAAAATAGATGAACTTTAATATACATTTTGAGTCACTCCTCCAATATTCAGGAGATAAGCATGGGATATAAAAGTCCATGCTGCAACATAAACTCTGTAAATGATGGTTTTGCTTAGAACTACATGAGCTCGACCAATAGATATATTGTCTTTCATCAATTATTTATCGATAGCTGCAATATATGCTTCAGATGTTTCCACCTTTTCACGGTAAAGACGAAACGAGTTTTTGCTTGAAAAGTCATTTACTTGGGTTGTGAGAAATGTTATCTCTCTCTAAAAAGCTCAAGAAATACCAAGAATATAGCTTGTGTTCCAAGACTTACATGAAACTCATCACATTCGGCCAATTATTGTGGTCACTTTAATTATTTATTTTTCTGACACATACATTTGAGCGACCACCGAAACCATTTTATAACTTCTATATACAAGAATGCAATTCAAGGACGACAGCTTTACCTTAAAGAACTATTTCACTATCAACAACAAAAGCGAAACAAACGAATGGCTTTACACAAAACGAATTTACAAATGAATACTCCAGTGTTTAAGAGGTGTTGCGTACACATCGATGTTTCGTAAGACAGTATAACCTCGCATCTAGTGCTAAAAAGAGTAACATGTATTCCGAACATACATTACTACACGTTTAACGTTAAAAAAACTGATACATTTTAAACCGCAAATTGAAAAGCTACAGAAGCACGGTACAAACAACGTAGCGTTAGCTCACGTATAACGACAGAAGGTATCAACCTCACGTAACCATACCGTGTACGTGTATATCCACCAGACATTTTTGCTCAATTATTTAGTTTAGCGACGTTCCCTTTTGCCTTGAGATAAACCTGCGGCATATTTTGTTTTAATGCATACAATCTCTCTCTAGTAAACAAACACTGGCAACACACTTCATCCCTCAATGAGTTAGGAAGAGATCGATAGTACGGGCTCCCCAGTCTACTTACCAATAAGCGATCCTTGAGTCCTCCCAGAGGCATTGAGGGTTAGGTTTCTTCCCTTATGCTGACAGCAAAAGGTTAAATTGAAGAAAAAGTATTAAAATTTGTTCAAAATCATGTCAAATTGTGGCCATAAACGCTGTCGGCTGTTCCACCTGCACCTCACATACTTATCTTACCACCGCAGTCATCAGAACACGGAACTTATTTCAAGAAGTAAGTACACAATTTGCTTAGAAACCTCCCCTTCTCTAGCAGCACCCCGAGGGACCCTTCCCGTGTAAGGCTTTTTTTCTCTGATATTCAACATGGCGTCTGTTCGTCAGGCAGACACAGCATTGTGGCTTCATAACAAATTATCTACAGATGATTCTTGGTCTGGTAGTAGCTTGCGGTCTTTACTAACCCAAGATGTCCTCCGTAATATTCCAGAGTGTTTTCATAGGCTTGAAACACAGGTGAAAGTGAAATTATTAATGGCTTTTCTCCATCTTCCCCGTCGAGTGATAGAGGAAATGAGCGGTGAAATGAGCGAAATATTTGAGATTGGAAGCCAGGATGAAGACGAGTGGGTCCGTGTTTTATCTGAGATTCTAAAGTATTATCCAAGCACAGGAATGCTGAATGTTCATCTCGAGCATGTCAGCCCAGTGTTTGCAGAAGTGGCAGAAGAAATCAGAAAGACTGGTAAGATTTACATCTTTACAACACGACAAGTTATGTTTTAAGCTCCTGAAATAATTGTACATACTCAATTTTAATTGAATATAACTGTGGTCTTCAAATACCCCTACAAGAGGGACTGTCATTTATATGATAGGTTGAATGCCAGACAACTCGTCCCCTGGACTATTTGCCCCAGACGATTAGCCCCCAGCTTTGGATGATTAGCCCCCAGTCTTTGGACGATTAGCCCCCAGTCTTAATTAATGTAAAGGAGAAGTTACGTTCATCTGTTGGTCATTGACTTTTGTGAGTGTGTGGCTCCTAAATGATTTTTTTTTTTTGTGAATGGTTATCTTTATTAATGGAGGCAGCTATCGCACTGAGGCCTTCTTGAATACAGGAGATACACATGGTAAGGTAGATGGAAGACATCATATTGAAGATCGCGATTTGTTGTTGCTGAATAAGCTAATACCAGTGTCCACAATTGAAGGATCCCTTTTATACACATCCCTAGGATCAAGATTTTGACTTCGAATGAAACACGCCATTTGATTGGAGGAATCGTTAATTTAAGAAAACAATGTCTTGCGTCAAATTTGCAGAAGTTTGCACATTGCATGTGGGTTTAATTTGATGTAAACAACAATGAATCAAATTTTGCACCTTGTGCATGGGTTTGAAATAAGCAAACAACAATGAGTAAACGTTTGCACGTTGCGCATGGGTTTTCGTTAAACAAATAAATAATAGTCAGTAAAAGTTTGTGCAATGTGGGTGGCGAGTTTGAAATAAACTCCCATTGCCATTAACAAGTAGTCGTCAATAAGCTAAAGTTTCGAAGTTTCGTTCCTGGTTTATTTCCTTTCCTAATTTTAAAAGTTCTCGAAATAAACAACATGACGAAGAAACATTTGTCAAATATGTAAACAGAAGGAACACAGTTCACTTTTGTAAAATAATATACTTTATAATTTGACATGCATGGCAGCTAAACGTTCACAAGAAACAAATAACAAGAAAATTGTTTATTTCAAAATACATGATAGGGAAACGTTTGTAAAGTAAACAGCAAGAGCACAGTTTATTTCAAGGATGGTGGGTTGGGGGTTAATAGTCCAGAGGCAGGGGGCTAATCGTCCAAAGACTGGGGGCTAATCGTCTGGGGCTAATTGTCCAGGGGGTGAGTTGTCCAGATATCAATAGGTTGAATCCACCACATGCAATTTGATTTTTACACAGGATCTATTGGGGATAGACTCACACATGATGTCACCATTAACATCATTTTGCTTTTTTATCATATGAAAGAAATAGATTGCATCATGTGAGGCATCTTTTCAGCAATAGGTCACAGAAGACGTCAAATTGTGGTCAGAACATCAGTGATAGACTCGCACCTTGTTTGCCTTTTTTTGTCCTTAAGTACCACATTTTGACATCATCTGTGATCAGTTACTGAACAGACACATGGCAACATGAAAGCTGTTTGATAAATACATCATTTTTATTAGTTCAATAGTTATTAGCTATCATCTTAAAATCTGCTCAGGGGAGTTTTCTCCTTATCCTGAGAGTACCCCCTTAAAACAAGGATGCCTTATTCTGTTGTTTTTTATGGTGTTTTTATTTTAAGTTACCAGTCTTCTAGACAGTGGATCTAGTCTTCTTCCTCTGGAGTGCCTATATTTAAACAGAACAGCTCTTGTCACCATGGTAGGACATCAGCCTCCCATTCCCAAACACTTTACACTTAGAAGAAAACCAAAGTCTGCTGCCCTAAAGGCAGAACTTACACAGAAAGGTATTTGTTTTTGTTTTTCTAAATAGAACAATATCCACAAATATGTTACAACACAACTGATAGAGTGGGATAATTATAACCTCTTGACATGCAAATCATGCGGTCAGCAGTCAGCCAAGATGGCTGCGTATTTTTCATCTCTGCTGTTTCTACTTGTTTTAGCGACCATATTGGCTCGGAAATTATATGAGCAGCCTCATTTTACATTGGGAATTGGCAGGTTTTGCCTAAACATTAGTTTAGCAAGTAGCAATCCTATTCCAGAGGGCTTTCAAGTGATTGTTAGCCAATTTAAACCAAACATTTATACATCAACATGTTTGAAGCCAATGAATGTCAGAGGAGCTCTATTTCTTATTCTATTCTTGGGAGCTCTATTTCTTATTCTATTCTTGGGAGGTGACATTGAATTTAATCCTGGACCAAATTGGAAATATCCTTGTGGGGTATGTAGCAAGCCAGTGCGGAGAAACCAAAAGGGGATTCAATGCAATAACTGCAATTTGTGGTACCATACGAAGTGTGCACAGTAGGGGATGAAATTTACCATAATTATTTTAGCTAATTCATCTTGCACCTGGATCTGTGTTAACTGTGGTCAACCCAGTTTTACTGATTCACTATTTGAAAGATCGATTGAATCTTCAAACTCGTTTTCATGTCTGGATCCATTATCACCAGTACCTCCACAGACAACTAGTACACCTAACAACAGACTTAAAGGGAAGAAACCTCAAGCCAGAAAAAATATTTTGACCAAATTAAAAGTTGTCAGTCTAAATTGCGGCAGTATCAGATGTTAAAATGAAAGTGGATTATTTAAATCTCTTTTTGACTCTGAGAAACCTCACGTCGTCCTTGGCTCTGAATCAAAGTTGGACTCATCAGTCTCCAACAGCAAGGTTTTCCCTCATGATTATCTAATTTTCTGTAAAGACAGGATAAGTGACAACCCAGGTGATGGTGTTTTCATTGCTGTACATAGCTCAATTCTAGCAACACAACAACCTAAACTTAACTGTTGAGCTGAAGCCATATGGATTTACCTTACATACATACATACCTACATTAGTTGATCACTCCCCCACAGGGCTTCTCAGGGCTAATCTTACACCTCCCCATTAAGGTTGAGATTGGATGTCAGCATTATCAGGCGCCTCTGGCAGCCGCTTCAGTCCATGTAACGATCTCACCTTCCCCCCACCCATCCCACCCCAGGTGAGGACATTCATCACACAGTAATCTCGTGCATGGGAAATTATCAAACAAAGACCTTTGTATTTAGCTTCAGTGTACCGACTGCCTGGATCCCAAGAAGTAGCCCTTGATGAGCTGGAGAACACCTTACTTTCTCTCCAATCAAATGGCTCATGCCCGCGAATTATTATGTGTGGAGATTTCAATGTGCTGGACAATCTGTGGGAACAGTCAGCACTATTGTCTCAATTTCAATAAGGACTTTCTGCAAACCATAGAAAGCTAAACCTTGTTGAGGACTTTGGACTCAATTAGTGAACTTCCCAACCAGCGGTAAATCTACGCAAGATCTTGTTTTCTCCAGCCACCCAGATCTGATATCAAATATTCATAGTATAAATGGAATTAGCAACTGTTGAGCAGTGTCATTTGATCTTAATGTTACAATTAAACCTAACAAGAAAAAACCAAGATCTGTTTATAAATTCAACAAAACAAACTTTAGCCAAGTAAGATCTGATGCGTCAAATCTTTCTGGTGCTTTCTTTGCAAGAAATCCTCAAGGACACACTATTGATGATAACTGGGAATTTTTTAAAACAGGACTTATGGATATCGTACATAAGCTGGTCCCAAAAAAAAACTTGGCTCATGGAGTGATACCCCATGGATGACGAGGGACCTGAAACGCCTGCTGAGAAAGAAGAAAAGACTTTATAACATTAGCAAAAAAATAATAATCCTTTTGATTAGAAGAAATATCGGCAATTCCAAAAGCACATGAATATGAAACTTCGCCAGGCTCAAGATAATTTTATTGCTGAAACTCTTGATGTTCAACCTAATGAAAAACCCAAGAAGTTTTGGTCCTACATCAAGGCTAAAAGGCAAGATCAGATTGGAATTCCACCTCTGATGAGTAATTCAGGTATCAAAGTTGATAGCTTATTAAGTAAGGCTCAGATTCTAAACAGCAAAATTAATTTCAACAAGTCTTTATGGTGGAAGATATAACTACTCTTCCCAACCATTCACTCTGTGATAGTACCAGCATGGACTCTCTATCTTTTGATGCTTCAGAACCTTGACTCTAAAAAGGCAAATGGCCCTAATGAAATTCCCACAAGAATTATCAAGGAAACAGCTGCTGAAATTTCTGAAATGGTCTGTTTTCTATTTAACCAATCTTACAATTCAGGCCAGCTGCCTTCAGATTGGTGAAAAGCTAATGTTGTCCCGATTTTTAAGAAAGGTGTTACCAGTAAACAAGATCCTAACAATTATCGACCTGTATCTCTGACTGTGACTTAATGCAAAGTAATGGAGCATATCATCTACCAGAGTATTATGCAGCATTTCGAACATAACAAAATCTTGTCTGCAAACCAACGTGGTTTTAGGAAGAACCATTCATGTGAAATTCAAGTCCCTCTTACTGTTGAGGATCTAGCTAAGAATCTGGATGAGGAATCTGAAATCAATCTACAGATCTTTGATTTCAGCAAAGCATTTGACAAAGTGCCACATCAAAGATTGCTGTCCAAACTT